AGGCGCCCCCCGCGGAGGCTGCAGGAGCCAGGCCAGGGTAGCGCAGGTGGAAGGAGCGCGCTCGGGAGTGCGCAGAGTTGCGCCGCTGCGGTACTTCCTTGCGGGGCCTGGCCCGTGGCAAAGCAGGACACCTTCCCGGGCACCGGGCATGGGTGAAAGGAAGAGCTCGGTAACCCTGCCGTGTGCACGCCTCGGTTACAGGCTGCCACTCGCCCGGAGGTTCCAGAGTCGATCCCGCTGCAATGGGCGGGCGTCCTTTTGCGCCTCTCCATCGCTTGCGCTGTCGAAGCAAAGACGCTCTGTGTCCTACGAACGAGGAGCTCCCATGTCTGGGATCGTTACTTTGGTCCTGGGCAAGATACCTGCGCTGCCGTAAGGGAAGCCCCCGCTCCCCTCCCCCCTTCCGCGCTCTGTTGAGATCAAAGAGCAAATTATGGTGATTGCCCCAGAAGAAGCTCTCCACGTAATGCGTAAAGCGGCCGGGCGCCGCAGAGCAAAGCGCTGTGCGCAATGCTAAAGGGGACAGACACAAGTCTGCAGCCTTGCTCCCGCGAAGGAGCCGTGTTTCCTTCATGTTCTGCCCCTCTGGCAAGCGCTCTTTGCCACCCACCCAGGCACCCCGCGGCCAGCCCATATAGTGAAGCGGCCCCTGCCAAGGACTGGAACATTCACTGAAGAGCCGCAGTCAAACCTCGGGTGGGGAAGTTTCAAAGGATCCCATTTAACTGCATCCCCAGAGCGATGGGAGTGGGGGGGGGGAATCTCCTTTTTCAGTTGCCTTGAGAACTTCCTGGTCGCCGCCCCCCTCCCTCCCCATCATTAACCCTCCTCCTGGTCTGTGTCTTGTATGTTTCGCGAAGAGAGTCTACTATAGAGCACCCAAACCAGCTGCCTCTGTCCCTACTTTCACAGAGATGAAGGTCGGAAAGAACCCGGATGGTCTCCAAGCCTGAACCCCTGCATGGCACAGGCCTGAGGGTTCCCTCCTCCCCCTTTAAGCCCCGTAGAGAGCCCACTTGTTTGTGGTAGGACCAGAGCGCAGTGCCGTGGCCTAGCAATCGAATGACAGCAATGGACGGGGAGGGAGTTGCACCTGGGAGGGGGGCCAGGGTATTTCTTCTCCCGCAGTCGGCGGGCAAGGCTGGATGGCTGGGAGCGATCACGGAAACCTCTGCAGCCCAAGCGTTTGCTGCAGGTTCAGGGTGTAACGAAATACCCGGGGAGAGGAAGCTGCGGGAAAGTTTGATCGCAGTTGAAATAGTTACCATGACAATGGGAGTGGTGGTGAACACACACGGAATTAAGTTGACAAGGGAAGGCAAATGTCCATGGAAGTCCATGGTGGGGTGAGAAAGCCTGTTTCTCCAGGGGCTGGAGGGAAAGGGGTCTGTCTGTCTCCTCGACTTGTACCTGCCAACGGGAGGAGGCAAGCAGGATCGGGTCCCCGTATGGTGTTATCGCAGAAGAGGCTGAGGGGCACGAACTCGGTCCCCTTGCACCTCGAATTAGTCTCTTAAAAAGTAAATGACCTCCTCCGAGCCAAATCTAGCTCCCATTGGAGTCAACGCGACTCCAGGTGGAGACGGATCGGGTCCACTGGTGTTAGTATAAGAAATATGCCATAGAGGGAGGGCAAATATTCTACCGCTTAAATGCGCCACATTTTAAAAAAATCTCTGGGTGCTTTATGTACAAGAAAACGGGCCGTTTCTAACCAAGGCACCGGTACCGCAAATGAACACAAGATTCTTGTGACGTATGTAGGCATTCATTATACAGGTAACATGCAGAAAGCCACCGCGATAGACATCTCTTGACTAGATACTTCCCACTTCTGTTTCTCTTTCCTTGTTTATACGGATTTTGTGAAGAGCCTGCCTTCAGTGTGCTCGAGACTGTACAAAAACACACCAACAGTTCCCGAGCGAAGCAGGTAACACTGGATATCCCCCTTAGCATTACAGAACAATGCTAACTCACATCTTTCAGGTAGCCGAGTTAGTCTGTTACAGAAAAAAATAACATATGGTCTGGTAGCACTTGTTTTGTTAGTCTTTAAAGTGCTACCAGACCATTTGTTGTTTTTTCACATATTTCAGGACTCCTAAGAATCATGTCTTTGGTAGAGGCCGAGCCTTTGAAAAGTGGGGGGGGGAGGTTCTTTTCAATATTTTGGCAAGGTGGCTTACATTTCCCGGAGCTTCTCCAACTTTTTAATTACTTAGCTCACGATCCTTCATCACATGCCCTATGTCCTAGTGCTTTACATTTTCACTTTCTGTCACACTTCGACCTTGAAGTGACCTTCCAGGAAGGAAGGAAGGAAGGAAGGAAGGAAGGAAGGAAGGAAGGAAGGAAGAAAGAAAGAAAGAAAGAAAGAAAGAAAGAAAGAAAGAAAGAAAGAAAGAAAGAAAGAAAGAAAGAAAGAAAGAAAGACTGCTTGATATTTTAGCAAAGTGTTGACTTACTATTATTTTTTCAATTAAAAGTAACCTTGTTCTTATAAAAGGGTTAATTTTAAATTTATGGCCATCACGTTTCAATATCTCTTTTCGTTCTTGTTTTCGTACCTCTACAGAATCAAACCTAATGACACACTAAAGAATAGATCTCTTTCCTATATTAAGAACGCCTTGAAAGAGTCCAAAAATATTATGACAGTGAAACGGTGAATATGACACGAGAAGAAATCTCGCTGTAATAGGTTTGCAATCTAACTTGAGTTCCAAATATCTCACAAAAGTAAATAGCACCACTATGCCAAGTAAAATAACTACGATTATCTAGATTATGAATGAGATCACAGAGTTTATCTAGGGAGATCTCACTCTAGCAGCCCGCAAGAATGCACTTTCTTCCCTGGCTCCGATAGCAACTTGCTGATCTAATGACAGACTAATGATCACATTTAAATTCTCTCTGTATCCTGCCCTGTCCGGCCTTAAGTAGAAAGTCTGGACTCTATGGATTCTGTGTACACCGCAAAATCACATGAAGGTTGTTCAAACAATGTTAAGGCTATGAATGAAACCCACGAAAGCAAAGAAATTCAGACCCTTTTCTTACTTCTTGGGTGTTTAGACAGTCAAACACATTAGATTTCCCAGTGTTTCCAGCTCATCCAGTGTCTGACAACTAAATTTCACATTATATCGAAGTAATTTGTGCAGTGTGAGGTTACCTATCAAATGGACCTGACATTATTTTGAAATGCAACCTTCAACTGATTTTGACTTTAAAAAAAGATATATTTGTATGCCAAAAGAAAGATAGCTAGAGGGAAAACGCCATTAATACTTAGCATGATTTGCCCCCTTGATTCTCACTGGCTCTGAATGGTAGACTTCAGAATGTTTCAGATACTATTATTTTAGTTTTATATTCCAGATGATACAGACCCAGGTTTTGTAAAAGTGCTAACGATGTGTAGACATTGCATTTTCAATAAAAAAAATAGAAATTGGTCCTGGTTTTACACTGCAGTAGCACAAGAGCATTTGAAGTCAAGGCATTGATGGTTTTATTTTAAAGCTAGCCGAATAGAATTCCTTCCAGAGTTAAAAATTCACCATCTTTTTAAAAATGGGAACTGACCGGGTTCTTGTGGACTGAGCTCTTCTTTGTGAAATGTTTGCCTCCAACACATTTCACGGCCAGGTTTTAAAATCCTGATGGATGTTTACTCACACACAAATGACTATTAAAACTATTAAAGGCCCTTCTTAAACCAAAAAAATCCAGGAAATTTAGATTGAGGACTAACGCTCAATACTAAACTTTCCACATTGTTTGTAGGTCTTCTATAGGCACACATCCGCTCCCAAACCTAAAGACGTCAGTAGCAACCTTTTCAGCTGAGCATTTCCTTGCTTTTCAATCCTTTGGGTTTTGATCTTACATGTTATTTTCAAGGGATGCAATATTTCATGAAATGGCATAAAAAAATCGACACTCCCTTCCTAAAGCAGAGTCACTGAGGAGTCACCACTCTACAAAATTATACACTCCCCGTAAATACTTACGGTGTTTGACCTCATTTTCAAGTAATCGCTTGACAAACACAATTTGTGAACAAATCCTTTTTTTAAAGTTATATGCTCCAGTGCAAAAATAAAAGCATCTAAAAGACTATGACTAATGACTAATTAGTGGGCAAGAAGAGAGAAATCTCTCGAGAGCCAAGTAGGAGCCCCTCGGAAAGTTCTCTTTTAACAAGTAAAGCTCCCAACACCTGATTCTCAGCACAAAGGAGAACCATGGAGATTGGTGGTTGTCCTCTAAAAACTAAACATTCTTTTTAATGCTTCAACTTCTTTCCCGTTTTAAAGTTATTCTCTTGGTCGTTTCTTTGCACTGGTGGAAAAAGCCGGCTTGGGCTTTGCGAGAAAGAAGGGTTTTACAATAAAGTGAAGAGCAGTGGTGTGGGGGGAAGGGTTGAAACCCGTGTGCATTTGTGGAAAAGGGTGTTTTTGAAGACATCAAAAAGAAAAGGCATAATGGGATGGACACTACCTTCCAATGCATTTTACACGGCTGGTGACAAAAACCCAGGACATGCACCGAATGCCTAATTACCCCCAACCGAAAATTCCCTATCTAATTTGATATTTGGTGCTCCGCAGAAGCTAGCCTTCGTAAATAATATACAAAGTAAGAAACCTAATCCAGCAGGCTAGAATGTTTAATTCATCATTATGCGAGCTAATTGGAAGGTGATTATATGGTAATTGCTCATTAGTGGTGTATATTTATCGCTGTACCTTATGTCAAGGCCATGGGAATTGTGTAGAGTCTGTTCTCTCATTTCAAGGATCAGTTTCAGACGCAGGAGCGAAGCAGGCTAGATCAAGTTCTTCCTGACGTCAGGTCCAGCCAAGTGCAATGGAGCCCGGGACTATAAATATGAGGCGGGCTCCCCGGGATCAGAAGGGTTAGAGTAAGGGGGAGGTGGTGCTGTTGGCGGAAGGGTTAAGGGCGCACCGGACCCAAGTCCAACTTTGCACGGCCCAGTGGGGTCCAAGTGTTGGAAGGGGGCTAAAGGCCCCTGGCTCAAGGAGTGGCTAGTCGGGGCTGTCCTGCTGGAGGAGGGGGATGGGAGAGCTGCTGAGGGGAGGCAGAGGAGGAAAGGGGTGGGGAGGGTGTTAATGACACTCTCCTGCGCCAGGCACCTGCGAATGGGAACGCGGCTCCCTGCAGACCTGGGGACAGGGTCTCGCGTTCTGCTGGCTCCGCGCGGCGGAGGGAGGGCGCCCTGACATGCATAGCCACGCGCAAGGCTGTAGGTATTGGAGACCCTACCTAAATCCCAGCGCCTTCTCCACGTTCTAGACATGGGCTCCACGGGTCTTTGCTTGTAAAGGGGAGGAAATGAGCCAACTGAATCTCGTGCCGCCTCGGACCCGGGTCGGGTGACGCTTGACGAGGGCTAGCTCGGGTTTCTAGTTGCGCCGCTATTACAGCGAATCTCCCCCGTTGGCTCTGCACACTGGAGGCGCGTTCCTTTGGCTGGAGCTGGGGAGAGAGGCGCTTTGCGGGCACCCAGGTCACTCACGCCACTCGTGAGCTGGGCTGAGCCG